CTATTAAAAACATTGGGGATTATTCATGTCAACAGACACAACGGAGCTCTTCTCAGTCAGTTGATCCACGCTAGCAGTGGCGTGAAAATGCAGCAGGTTCTCCCGAGTAATCGCAGATCTTCTGGATAACTCCAGGAGGAGGCCAACCTCTGATGGTCACTTCCAAGCTCAGCTTAAAAAAAAAAAACAGCATCTAACTCAATTAGACAAGAGTTTGGATAGGTGAGAGGTTTAGCTGTGTGAATAGATAGTAAAGGTTGTACCAAAACGTGGTGTAGAAAGCCTGAGATGATCTCTTAAAAATRCTCAAATGGTGTTCGGGTCGTGAGGTGGCAGCAGCTTTTGAAATTTGCTTATGATTATGCTTAAGATTCTACCATTATAACATACTGTTATACCATTATAAGATGGGTCCTTGGCCTGTTTGATTGTAGGCATTTACTGCCCTATTTAGATGGATTTTCACTGTATGATTTATTTTCATATGGCTGTATGATTTATTTTCATGGACAGTGTAATTTAGAAACGGTAAATCTTACTACTTTAAACGTTTYTGTTATTATTAGCATGTATTCTGTAAAGTTGATATGGTTCACTGAAAATACCTGTTATTAAATTTGTTAGAATATTAATAGAAAGATGAGATGGACACCAGCAATAAAATTGCCTCCCTTAAAAGAATCAGGTAAAGACAGAAAATTTAGGAAGCTTCAGTTGTCTTAGTTTAACTGCTAAGGGCAATTTTCCAGTTGGTTATTCCAGACCCATTGTTTTTGCTGAAGTCCATTAAATTCTCTTATCTAGCATTTGAATTATTGCTTTTAAAACCTGCAGCCTGCTGCTTCTTCCTCTCAATAATTTTAGGCTGTTTTAACAGCTTGAACTTGATGTTATATTTCTTCTGATTTTTATATTGACATAGATGGGAGGGGAAAAAAAAGAAAAAAGGAAAGAAAAGGCCCATGCAAGTTGTTGTGAATAAGGTGACCTGACCTGATCTGATCTGACACAGATTTACGTTCCACTTGGGCTCTGGAGAATCTCAAATAGTATATTTCAGTAAAAACCTAATTTCTGCTACAATATGTGATACAGAAGAAATCCAACCAGCAAAAATCTAAGATGTTTCCCATGGCATCTCCATGACAACATATAGATGCACATTCTGCCATACGTCACTATCTGGAGACTAACTGCTCTTAGATTTATTATTTTATTTTATTTTATTTTATTTTATTTTATTTTATTTTATTTTATTTTATTTTATTTTATTTTATTTTATTTTATTTTATTTTATTTTATTTTATTTTTAGTTCAGGGCTGGAAGGCAGACCAGCAGGGTATCTGGCTGCATCTCGGATGAGTATGAACAGCCCCGTGAAGGACATTTGCAGGGTTCTCAAAGCCTTCCCAAAAGGCTGTTGCTGACAGCAGAGCTAGCAGGGATAGATAAGAATCAACAGTAATTTGGGTTAATGAGTTATTCTGAGGGTTTTTTTTCCCCCTTGCATGCTGAATGAAGGCAGGGCAATCCTGTCTTCTCTTCCACTTAGCGAACGCTATAGATATTGTATCAAAAGTCTATAATTCTACAGAAATACACGTGTGTTCTGCTTCTCAAGAGTGTATGGGAATTCAGGTTTAGGTGGCCTAGCAAAACATATGTACGACATACACACAACCTTTTCCTTTTCCCTTTTTCCCTTTTTCCCTTTTTCCCTTTTTCCCTTTTTCCCTTTTTC